GCCGCGTTACAAGCAAATTTCCGATACGTCAGCGGGCCAAAAATAAAAATGGGCACGCCGGGGCGAAAAAAATTTTTTCGCGCAGCGCGTTACAAAAGCCCCCGCACGAGCAGGCAGCGGGTGCTCGCGTTACAGAACGTGCAATTACACCTGTGAAAGCGTCGCGTTTCGAACTTGTCCCACCCGCCACCGAACAAAAAAGAGGGAGAAAAAAAACCAGAGAAATAAAAAAAAAAAACCAGGGGAGAGGAACAGGAAAAAAAAAGGAAAACTTTTTGCAATCTCCATGAATGAATCGTTTCGCGCCGTTCCGGGAATTACGATGCGAAACCAGATTCAAACCACAGGACCGTATCGCACGCTGTTCGGATTACATCTCGCGAATCGTTTGTTACATCTGCCTCTCCTGTATAATTCGCCTTTACTGCGTCCCTCCAAAAAAGGAACAGAGCAAAAAATTCGAAAAAAAAAAGAAAAAAAAAACAAAAAAGAAAAAACATAGAAAAAGACCTCTTCGCCTACGACTACGGTCAAACAATCCCGAGGATGTTGCCGAGTTCGCGTTCGTAGAGTCGTTTTCAACCACCGTTAAGTTTGTAAAAAATCACGCGACAAGCGACAACGAGCATTTAGACGCACGCACGAGGATTTCTCTCGTTCTCGCCTGATTTCACAACGAGCGGCGCATTGTCGAGGAACGACGAACCGGAAGTTCAGAAAGCGAGAAAAAATGACATCTCGATCGACGAAAGTCGCGACGACGCGTACGGCGCGAACGAGAACGATGGCAGACGTTACGAGGGTTTAATCCGCAGACGGAAGAGACGGATGGATGTGGCTGGTGGCGTACGGGGGGAGAGACGAAGCCGGGTGCACGGGTCCCCGGCAATCGTGAAATTCGATTACGAGAAAAGAATGGACGTAAGAAGCAGAGAAACGGAGGGACAAAGAGAGCAATTTGGACGTGTGCGCGTCGACCGACGGCCATTAATCGAATTTAATTAGCTAATTAAGGGAGCAGGCGGCGAAAAGAGCAGGCGGCGAGACGCCGAGCGGGCGAGAGAGTAGCTCGTTAACGGATGCACGTATCGCGCTCCAGGCGCCCGAACAAAAACTATTAGCGTCCGCTCGAGCGATCAGCCTGAAAGCTTGCTCGAGTGTCGCCTCGAGTGAGGTGAGTGTAGTTACCAGCGAACAGGTAGCTAGCTGGGATCTCCCCCTCCCCTCCCCTCCCC